CCCTCCCGGACCTGTCCGTTCCCCCTCCCCGGCCTGTGCCCTCCCGGACCTGTCCGTTCCCCCTCCCCGGCCTGTGCCCTCCCGGACCTGTCCGTACCCCCCGCAGGCCTGTCTCCTCCAGGACCTGTCCGTACCCCCCCCCGGCGTGTCCCCTCCCGACCTGTCCGTACCCCCTCCCCGGCCTGTGCCCTCCCGGACCTGTCCGCACCGCCTCCCCGGCCTGTCCCTTCCCGGCTCTGTCCCCTCCCGGGCCCCGTCCCGCCCACGGCCCGGCCTGTCCCCGCCGCCCCGCCCCATCCCGGCCGGCCGCCCAGGCCTGTCCCCGCGAGGTCCGCAGCACCGCCCACCTGTTTGGACTTGGCCTGGGCCGCCGTGGGGCCCTTCTTACGCAGCACCGTCACCGTGTCCCAGTCGCTCTCGGCCATGGCGGGTCGGGCGCGGTCGGCGGCTCCGTCCAGCGGCTCCGCGGCTGCTGCTCCAGACCCGGCGCGGCGTCGCGACGTCGGTCGGCGCGAGGCCCCGCCCCCGGTCCCCATTGGCCCGCGGCGCGGAGGGGCGGGCACTTCCCGAGGTCCGGGACCAATCCAGGAGCGGCTCGTCTCAGGGCGCGCCGGGCGGCCCGAGGGCGCACGACGTCGGGCCGCTAGGGGTGGTGTCGGGGGCGAGGGGGAGCCAGGGGGAGGAGGGGCGTCGGGGGAAAAGGGGTGCCAGGAGGAAACGCGGGCATCGGGGGCTCCGGGATGAGAGGAGGAGTCTGGGAGAAAAAGGGGGCCCCGGGGGGAAGGGGGCCGCAAGGATAAAATGGGGCCACGGAGAGTATAGGGGAGCTGGGGAAAGGTGGCGCTGAGAGGAGGGGTCAGGGAGAAGAGGGGGCGCTGGGAGAAAAGGGGGCACCGGAAGAGACGGGGGCGCGAGGTGAAGGGGGCTACGAGACGAGGAGGCGCGGGGAGAACGGGTGCGCCGGGAAAACAGGAGGCGCAGGGAGAAAAAGGTGTCGGGAGGAGTTGGAGCCACGGGGAGGAGGGGGCGAAGAGAAGGGGGCACGTGGAGTAGAGAGGGTCGGGAGACAGGAACCCCGGGGCGCGAGCGGGCACCTTTGGGGATGGGGTCCCACCAGCCCCGCAGGCCACGTGGGCGAGGAGGGTTCGGATACCGGCGCCCAGACTCAACGCGGGAAACGCAACCTCCTCAGTTTTTCTGTAGTTGATCTTAGTTTCTACTTCATACCTTGATTTTGCCACCCTGGTGTACTCAATGTGAAGTTCTTTGCCTGTTTCTGTGGAGTTGTGTTCGTGAGATGCAAAAGTGTTAGGGGCAAGGGCAGCAGGTTTGGGCCGCGGTAAAGTGATGCGGCTGCTCAGCAAAAGGTCGGCAGTTCAAGTCCACCAGTCGCTCTTTGGAATCCCTAGGGGGCAGTTCTACTCTGTCCTATAGGGTTGCTATGGGTTAGAATGGACTCCACGGCAATATATTTTTTATATAAATATGTATCCTTTATTTTATAATAATTTTGTACTTTTTAAATTATTTTGAATAGTGTGCATATTTGAAATAGAGAAAAGATTTAAAAAACTGACAAAGGCCACACAAGCGTCTCAAAATTCAGAAAAATAGCATTTTTATAAACGTACTGACGCATCTCTAACGCTTTGCTAACGTTTCCCGACGGCGTGCTTTTGTTTTGTCTCATGACAATTTTGTAGAATTGTTTTATACACAGAATAGAAAGCTGATTCAGACGTTTCTCTAACACGGCTGATCGAGTAGATACCTCATTGTTAGTCATGATATTGGTTCACACACAGAACTTGCTGTTTACAGTGCCACTACAAGGCAGTGCTCCACGTATACAGGCATTCTGATACAAAGTATAGGTAGTATTAATATAGTATAGTATTAAGTGTGTAATAGTATAGTATGTTAAATTGCGTTGGCTGCATCGTCGGATACGTTCCGGAGAGGAGACAACTTTGATTCCACTCAGGCATCGGGAGAACCGACGGCTCTGCTTACAGGGTGCATTCTGGATGACTGGAAGGTTTTTGCAGATTCACTCTTGACTCAAGAGTTGTCAACTGCCATCAAGTTGTCCTCCGACTCATGGCAACCCCTTGCACAACAGAACAAAACAATGCCCAATCCTGTGCCATCCCCGTAATCAGTGGCAGATCAGACCCTTGTGATCCATAGGCTTTTCATTGTCTGATTTTCAGAAGTAGATCGCCAGGCCTTTCTTCCTAGTCTGTTTTAGTCTGGACGCTCTACCGAAACCTGTTCAACATCACAGCAACACAAAAGCCTCCGCTGACAGGCGGGTGGGCTGCGTGTGAGGCGCACTAGCTGGGAATGGAAACTCGGTCTCCCCACATGTGCAGGGCCGGTGTCTCAGTCATCCAGTGCTGCTGTAACAAAAATGCCACAAGTGGGTGGCTGCTACAGATTTATTTTCTCACAGCTCAGGAGGCTAAAAGTCCGAACTGAGGGCGCCGACTCTAGGGGAGCGTTTTCTGTCTCTGTGGGCGTCGGGGGGGGGGGTCCTTACTCCTCAGCTCCTCGTGCTCTCCGTGTGGCATGCTGTCTGTCTTCTCCAGCGCTGCTTGCTTGTTTAATTTCATATCTCAAAAGAGATTGACTTAAAACACACCCTACGCTAATACTGTCTCATTAACTTCACAAAACCCATTCCCTCATGGGGTTGTAACCACAGGTATAGGGATTAGGATTTACAACACATATTTTGGGGGGACACAATGGAATCCATAACAGCCAGCACTGTGCGGGTGGGTAAGTCGCCAGTCAAAGAAGCCACTCCTGCCCCAGGACCGCTAGCAAGGACCTGAATGAACCACCTGAACACCTCCCATAAACCCCAATTAAATGCATTCCAACTCAATTTCTCCTTTGCCGGCTCCCAGAGATGACCGCGGCCACTCCAGTGCCACTGTACCCCAGTGAAAGTGATGAAGGGGGAGCAGTGGTATCACTAGGGTTGGTGTCCCCCCCACCCCGGACCTCTTCCTGTACCAGACCATACAGAATCCTTAGTAATGTTTTTTGTACTACTGTTACTCATAAACCATAATTCCTGTATGTCACTCCTTTCCCTTTAATTACTACTTCATCCTCAAAAAAGTTATTGATATGGGATCAGAAATACTAATTACCACAATATTACACCAGAAAATTTCACAAAATCAGCAACTATAAAAACACCAGCAGCAATGAAAACAAGTGTGTGCTTGTAGTGTGCGCAGATGCAAACACGTGATTCAAAGTGTCATCGTAATTGAGTGGAGCCCTGGTGGCACTGTGGTTAAGAACTCGGCTGCCAATGACAAAGGTCAGCAGTTCAAATCCAGTGCGTTCTTATAGTGCGTGCAGTTGAAAACGTGATTCGAAGTGTCATTGTAATTGGGTAATAATGACAGCTCTCACCATAGGTATATTGAGACGTGTCAGCTGGGCTTATGAAAAATGTTTTTGCTGTTTAACTACAGGGATATTTTTATAAAAAATAATACATTTCTGCTAAAACACTGCACAAAACTTTTATAGACAGTCATTTTGGTGTCACCCCCTCTGACCGTGTCACCTGGTGCGGTCCGCACCCCTCACCTCCCTGGTGATAACACTGAAGGGGAGGCTGAGTGGAAAGACGCAGCCGTCTTAGCCCATTGCAGGTAAAACATCCTGCGCTGCAAATTGAACTTGACCACCGAACCGGTTGCAAGGCCCCGCTCAGAGCCAAGGCTGGGTCCCTGCCGGTGAACCCACACCAGCTTTGTGATATATCTGCCCTGCTTGGCCCGGGGGGCAGGCGCCTTAGACCTAGCTGTCTTCTGCCCATGAGGGTGTCGCCAGGACAGCCTTCAACCCGTCTGGCCCTCAGTCAGGAGTCCAGACCACAGAGACATCCACCAGGGCACATCTGGGGACAGGGGTCTCTGAAGCCTTCCAGCCACGCAGCCGGGCTGTCTCTGGGGTCACCTGTGCACGGGAGCTCCTGGCTCTGGGATTCTTCACATTTACTCGGGGTCCAGAGGAAGGGACTAACCCCTGTGTAGAAAAAAGAACCAGCTTTGGGAGACAGTATCTGCAGAGAGGCCACGCCAGTGTCATTTGAATGGCTCCTTCGTCTGCATCATTTAAGATAAACAGCCTACCAGAATTATCCATTTATCTTTATGCAGGGAGGAAGAACAGAAAAGAAAGTTCCATAGCCTTCCAGCAAACAAAAAATGGCTATTTCTATATGTCCAAAATAAAGACCTTAATTTGAATATTGTATCCACGATAAAAAATAACATCAAAAGTCATTATCAGTTAAAAGCTATCTAGTAAAATCTGGTAAATTTGAGATTCCAGATACCTCACCAAGGAGTTCCGCACATAATGAAGAAGTAATCATGATTATGGCGGCAGACAAACCTTAAGGTGGCTCCCACGATCCCTGCCTCCTGACAGTCAACCCTTTGTGTAATCCCCTCCCCTTGAGCGTGGGTGGGCCCTGTGGCTTCTAACCAACGGAACATGGCGAGGGTCATGAGATGTGCGAGATTACGCTCACGTGGTTACGCCAAGTGTCCTGCCTCTCTGGCTGATGGTCCCGCCCTTGCTGAACAAGCAGCCTTGCATGAGCCCTGCAGCCGGGAGGAACTCAACACTGCCAACAACCGCGGGGGCTTGGAAGCAGGTTCTTCCCCAGTCCAGCCACCACATGAGAAAACGGCCCAGCTGATACCTTGACTGTAGCCTAGCGAGACCCTGAGCAGAGGACACAGCTGAGCTGGGCCTGGACGCTGGACCCACAAAATGGAAATGACAAATTTGTGTTCTCTTAAGCCACTAAGTTTGTGGCAATTTGTTACACAGCAGGAGAAAACTAATACAATTGCTAAGTGTAGGACAGGATTTAATTTTTTCCACCTTTTTGGAAGTATAATTTAAATAACGTAATTATGTTATTTAACTTAAATAACATAACTATGTTTAAATAACATAAAATTTCTTAACTTTATCTTTCAAAGAGCAGAAGTTTTTATATTTATGAAGTCTAAATTGTCAATTTTTTCTTTTGCGGTTCATGCTTTTTGTGTCCTACCTAAGAAATCTTTTCCTGTCCCATCATTGTGAAAAATTTCTCCTTTGTTTTCTTCTAAGAGTTTTATAGTTTTAGCTCTTACACTTAGGTCCTGAGTTATCCCTGCCCTGAGTTAACTTTTGTGCACGGTGTGGGTAAGGGTTGATGCTCACTGTCCTCATGCACCTGTGAAGTCATACCAGCCCCATTTGCTGAAAAGACTTCTCACTCCCCCATTAAGTTACTTTTACACCTTTGCTGAAAATCAGTTGGCCGTATACGCGCTGGTTTATTTCTGGGCTATTTCACTTCATCATTCTGCATATCTCTCCTTATGCCAGCATCACACACACTGTCTTGATTACTGTAGATTTATAATAATTTTTGTAATCAGATAGTTTAATCCTCCAATTTTGTT